GACTGGCCTCAGACCCGCTACGAGATATGGCCTCAGCGTAGCGGGATGGCCTTCCTCGTTGGTCGCGAAATGCAGGAGGTAAGACAACGCAGTACCTCACGGGACGGGGCAGGGGAAGAGCCTCAGCCTCAGCTTCCTCCTCGGAATGACTCTGGACAGCGACCCGCTGCAGGACCACGTGACGCTGCCCATCATCGCGTGGGCGAAGGCGGTGCAGTTCAACAACGACGCCGAAGACCTGAGGGCCTTGGGCAGCGCGTTCGCAGGGGCCGCAGCCAACCATGTTGGCTGAGAAGGGCCCAGCTGCGATCCACAACGACGAAGAGATGGCAGCCGACCTCAAGGAGATCCAGGCTTCGAGCTTGGGGAAGCGCATCGCGGCGGAGCATGGGAGGCTGCTGCGCCGAGAGGTTAGCAAGCACCCTGAGCTGGCGCATCTGGCGGGTGGCGGAGCTCTTGCTGGCGTGAGGCCCACCCTGCACAGGACGAGGCGCAACCAACTAACGGTCAAGGAGATCAGCTCCGCAGAGAACGCTATGGTGGGCTGCGCGTGGCCGGCGGCGCGCAGGGCTGCGTCAGAGAGACCTCTGGCGACTTCACCCTGGTGTCCAAAGAGATGCGAGACACACAGTACGTACTATTCGGCATGTGGTGTGGCAATGCCCTGCGACGGAGACCATGAGGGCGGAGCGGGAGTCGTACAACGACGGTGACGAGAGGCGGCGGCCTGACAAGGTGCCGTTGAGGACCATGGTGGCCATGGCCAGCATGGACTACGCAGAAGACACTGTGGTCGAGAAGGCTGGCACCAGAGCATCGTCGACGGCTGCTACTGCGGAGAAGGTGGGGCGCGACGATCTTGTGGAGCAGCCGCTGTCGGGCGACCTCTCCACAGACGGCAGTGTAGAGGACCCCAGCTTCATCTTGGCGCGCGGAGGATGGGCGGTATCGGTGATGGGCGTGGACTCGGAGGCGGTCAGCGTCTACGGGCCGTTGCGCTGGCCGTACCCGCAAGAGCCGGGAGCAGCGGAGCTGTACCCGGCGACGGTGGCAATCCGAGCACGCCTCCCACCTATCCGCGTGTTCACCGATTGTAACCTTATGGTTGACGGGGTGGAAACTGGCAAGGCTTGGTGGTTGCAGGCGGATCGCATGACCGGCTGGCAGCGTCGGGGCAACCACTGCACCGACATAAGGAGAATGATTAACTCCAAGATGCACCCGACCGAGGATGATGTGCGGCCACTCGTTCCATGCAGCGGCGGCCTCAGGACCAGCGTGGCCCTCATTTCATCGAAGCATCTCCGCCTGTGCGCTGTGCAAGGCGGAGAAGGAACCGCGAGAGTAGGAAGGCTCCTTCCGACGCTGGGGATCTCTCTCCGTGTCGTGGTGGAGCTACGGCGGCATGTCCACAGAGGCTCCAAGTTTCATGGGCCATCAGGGCCAGCCTCTGCCGCAGCGTTGGCGTGTGTCCGCTCTGTGGCGGAGTGGAACACGGAGTGTAGTTTCTACGACGCTCAGCATAACGTCCGTGCCTCTTGGGAAAGTAACATCAGCAGCAACATAATCCTCATCATAATGATAATCCTCCTCCTGCTCCTCCTCCTCATCCTCCTCGTCCTCCTCCTAACCAAGCTCCTACACGCCGTGACAACAATAGGTATGCTCGTTCCTACTTACACGCCGAACCGAGGGGGTTCATCAAAGTAAGATTGGAATACTACTGCAGTGTATCAGGGTACAGATACGACATTGCATGGGACAACCAACGGCCAGGACGCCCAGGAAGAGAAGTGAGCCTATATATATATATATAGAGAGAGAGAGAGAAACTCTGTTAGGAAGGAGAGAACAGCAGGTCGTGGGCAGAATGTAATTCGGCCCCCCCAGTAAAGCTTGGCACGCAAGGGCCTCCTGCATCCCCTCCTCTTCTCCTTGTTTCGAGTGAGGTCGTGTCGTCGTTCCCCCCCCCCCGCTTGGGACCCCTGCTCGCCCAGCGCGTCCCCATTGTCATGGGCACGCGAGCGGGCCAACAGCTGTTCCCCTTCACTGACCCCTAGGGACTCGTACTCGCAAGGTAGCGAGCCTCTCTTACGGGGCCACCTCGGAGCTCGTCCCTTGAAGCTTCGGGGTATGCCCCCAGCCCAATGAAAAGTCTGGGTCTGCGGCACAGAAATCGCAGGAGATGTTGCTAGTCGCACACACCGCTCTTTCGTAGCTGTTGACGCTGACAACCTTTTTGCTGATATCCGTGTCCTCGTCCTCCTCATCATCATCATCAGCATCATCAGTAGCAAGAGTATCGTCATCAGCATCATCATCATCATCATCAACATCATCATCAGCAGCAGCAGCATCATCAGCATCATCATCATCATCATCCTCATCAGCGTCAGCATCATCAGCACCAGCATCATCATTGTTCGTATCATCAACATCATTATAATCAGCATCAGCATCAGCATCAGCATCCGCATCATCATCAGCATCATCAACAGCATCGTCAGCAGCATCGCCGCCACCACCACCACCAGCAGCAGCATCATCAACATCATCATCATCGTCATCACCATCGGCATCAACATCAGCAGCAGCATCATCAAAAGCATCAACGTCGTCATCATCATGATCACCAACCTAATCGCCATATTCATTGTCATCATCAGCATCATCACCAGCATCATCATCATCATCATCATCACCAGCATCATCATCACCATCATCAACATCATCACCATCATCACCAGCATCATCATCATCAACAGCATCAGCTTCCGCATAGACATCATTAGCATTGTCAGTATCGCCGTCATCATCAGCATCAGCATCACTATCATCATCAGCAGCATCATCAGCATCATCACCCTGGTCGTCATCATCATCAGCAGCAGCATCATCATCATCATCCTTGTCATCACCATCGTCATCCTGGCCACCACCATGATCGCCATCAGCATCAACAGCACGACCATCCTCATCCGCATCAGCATCAGCATCAGCAGTTGCATCAGCATCGCCATCATCTGCATCAGCATCGTCAGCACCATCACCATCATCGTCAACCGTATCGCCAGCAAAATCAATATCAGCATTATCATAAACACCAGCATCCTCATCATCATCATCGTCATCATCATCATCATCATCATCATCATCATAGGCCTCATCCTGATCATCGTCACCATGGTAAGTGTCATCAGAGTTATCGCCCTCGTCACTACCATCACCCGCATCGTCATCATCGCCATCCTCATCACAACCACCACCACAACCATCGTGGTCCTCATCATCATCAGCATCATGATCATCATCGTCATCATTATCCAGAACAACACCATCATCATATCATCATATCATCATCATCCGAATCAGCATCATCATCGCCGCCGTCATCAGCATAGTCATCCACATCGTCCTAATCAGCATCACCATCATCATCAACAACATCATCATCCTCATCATCAGAACCATCATCATTTTCAGCATCGTCATCATCACCATCTCCGTCCAGAACAACACCAACATCATAATTAGCAGCATTACCAGCATTTTCAACATCCACCTCATCATCAGCAAGGTCGGCATCATCGTCATACTCGTCATTCTCAACCTGAGCCTGATCCGCGTCAGCTTCATCCTCATTCGCCAGCGTCATCGTCCTCATCACAACAACACCATGGTAAACATCATAATCCTTCTCCGCCTCATTATTCATCATAATCGCAATCGTCACCATCTGCATCGTTATCATCAACAGAATCGTCAACATTATCGTCGCCATCATCATCACCATGATCAGCATCATCATCATCAGCATCAACATCATCACCATCAACATCATCATCGCCACCATCATGATCATCAGCATCATCGTCAGAATCACCATCATGATCGACATCGTCATAACCATCATCATAATCACCGTCATCGTCGGCAGCCCCGTCACCGTCACCATCGTTACCTACAACCTCCTCCTCACCGTGCCGCGCCTGCGGATGCGCAAACGCCAGCAGGGCGCCACGCGGGCTGAAGGGTCTTCTGCTCAGCCGCAAATCAGCACCATGGTCATCACTATCATACGTATCGTAGCCGGCACAAGCGTCATCACAATCAACATCATCATCATCATCATCATCGTCATGATTTGTTGTTATTTCTTCCTCCTCGATCGGTGGTACAACGATGGGACAGAAAGGTTACCAACATGCCCACCCCCCGGGGGCCGGTATCGGCCACGCGGCCAGGACAGAGAACTGACCGACCCCTCTCGACGTTTGCTTCCTCCAGCGTTCGTCCACGGGCACAGGGCGCATGACAGCCAGGCCGCCCGTAGCAAAGGCTTACCAAGTAAAACCTGCAGGCGGGAGGTCTGGACCAAAGGGTTACTTAGACCTCTGAAGTGGGAGGTCTGGACCAAAACGTTACCGGTAAGAGCCTCGAGGCGGGGGGGTCTTGCCTGAAGCCAAATCTTGCCCCCCCTGTGGACTCTCCAGACGCACAGACAAATGTCGCGAACTCGGTGCGCGGGCGAACCGCCACTGCTGAGGAGAACGCTCTCCCAACAAAACGTGGCTCAATTCCTTCACCAGCCGACTCCTGTGAGTCCGTCTCCGAGAGGCTCGTGAGAAAAACTGGCGATGGTGACCCGAGAACCTCCCCACGCGACGGGATCGCCTGCCCTATCCGGAGACAACCACGGTCAACTCGCGGTCTGAACCTGGTGGAGGACAAAAGCGGGAGGAGCCAAAAGCGAGACAGGGCGAAGAACCAAGCGACCCTGAAGCCCACTAGGATCACAGCTCGAGATCAACACTGAACGACTGAATGTAAGAGATGAGCACGACGACGGCGGTGCTGAACCCAGCACGCCGAGCGCGGCGGCCGCCCCCGGGTCCACGGGAGGTGTCGGGCGATCCTCGGCGGGATCCAATCCATGCCATCGTCGCCAGGCTCGGGGGAAGAGGACAGGAAGGAAACGTATGAGAGAACGCGCGTCCTCCCTACGCCGAAGGAACGCCCGCCGCCATATGGCTTTGGATGGTCTGGGCAGCCTGCCGGTAGGCGAGCGCCCTCGCCACCAGAGATCGGTCCCCGGCTCGAGCTCCGATGCGATGCAGCCCCGCCGCCATGTCCAGCAGGTAGCTGTAGGTCTTCTGCACACCCAGGCCGTGCGTGGAGAGCACGTGGACCTCCGCCAGCGCGTTGATTTACGTGGCGCCCCTGGCCACCGTGGCCTCCGAGAGGGCTGTCGGGGGTCGGGCGTCGGGCTGGGCGGGGGGCTGGGCGTCGGGCTGGGCGCGCTGGGCGCTTGGGTGGAGGTCGGGGAGGGCGTCGGGGAAGGCGTCGGGCAGGGCGTCGGGCAGAGCGTCGGGCAAGGCGTCGGACTGGGCGTCGGGTTGGGTTCCGGGATGGGCGCCAGGTTGAGCGTCGGGCTGGTCGTCGAGGAGGTTGTCGGGGGAGTCGTCGGGGAGGACGTCGGGCTGTGAGTCAATCTGGGCGTCGGGCTGGGCGCCAGGGAAAACGTGGAGCAGGGCGTCGGGCAGGGCGTCGGGCAGGGCGTCGGGCTGGGCGCCAGGTTGAGCGTGCGTCTGGGCGCGTGGTTCGGCGCGGGGGTCGGGAGGGGCGTCGGGGAGGGCGTCGGGGAGGGCGTCGGGTAGGGCGTCGGACTGGGCGTCGGATGGGGCGTCGGACTGCGGGGGTGAAAAACATGGTGCTGACGGGAAAGATGGCGTCGTCCACCACGCCTCCAGCAAGTCCGCAGCGCTCGGGCTCGGCGAGCTGAAGTCCGACTCCACCGTGGACCAGACCTCTGGGATGTGGAGGCCCACCTCCTCCATATCGAAAAACTGCGCGCCCTTGAAGGTCGCCTCAGCCATGCCAAAATGCTGCCCATCGGATAGAGGGGAGGAGATACTTGCACAGGTACTCGTGGGGGCACCGGGCGCCCTGGAGAGCGCTGCCCAACGCTCGTGCAAAAGCGCCTTTATTCGCTCCAGCCTGGCTCCGAAGTCAGATCCATCGACGGCGAGCGCGGCGCCATCTCCTCGGGAATGAGAGCCATCAGCGGCGGGTGCTTTGGGCGCCCGAAATGAATACGGAAAAATGGGTACAATGCCCAACAACAATGTTGTCCCAAACCAACAGCGGCCGCTGTTGGGCAGGCGGCCTTCTGTTTCGAATGGACACAGGCCGCGGCGGCATGGACAGCGAGCCCTGTTCAAAATGGACACGATCCGCCGTTGGGCATTGTACCCATTCTTTCCGTGCCCAGTTCGTTCGTGCAGCAGTGTGGCGCCGTCTCCTCGGTGCACAGCTGGATCTGCGAAGCTCCCTCTGTGTAGGTCGGGTCCGGTCGCGTCGTCAGGGCCTCTGGCGCGAGCGACTCGCCGGTCCGCAGCGGGGCCGCGAGGTCGTCGGCGTAGCTGCGAATCCGTCCGAGGGTGTCCGCGCCCGCCGTGAAGAGAATCGGGAAAAGCTGGGGACCCGCGACGCCTCGAAGGCCACTGAAGGTGACATCGTCGACTGCTGCTGTCTGGACGGCGGCTGCTGCTCTTTCGGCGGGGCTTCCGACAGGATCCCCGCCGGCGTGCCCATTCTCGGACGCTGTCGGCACCCTCACTTTCGCCAGCCACTTCGCTCCGATAGCCTGCACCGCCCTGCACCGCGACAGCTCCTTCTTGATCGCGTCGATCTTGGCAAGCAGCTCGGCGGGGGCCAGGAGCTCGAGTGGTGGCGGCTGCGAGAATGGCTGCGCCGACCGCGAGCGCGCCAGGCGCAGCCAGGAACGCGCCTGCTCCTCCGCCAGCCGCAGCCCCGTCACCGCGATCTGTCGACGGAGTGGTTGGGTCTGCTCCCTCGCGATAGTCATCGGCTCCACCTCGACTGTCGTCCACATCGTCTTCTCCGGCGTCCTGGACCTCTGCACCCTGCGTGCCGGTGGTGTCAAGGGCGTCAGCACAGCCATCTGCTTCCTGGGCGTCAGCACCGCCCTCGCCCTGGGAGACCAGGTCGAGCTCGCACGCTCCGCCGTGTCCTCGTCGTGGTTCGTCAGCTGCGGAGGTGGAGAATGTTCCACGCTCGGGCGCACACCGCTCCGCTCGGGCGAAGCGTACGGCCTCGGCGGTGAGGATCCGGGCGGCGCCAGCCCGAGCGCGGTCAGCGCCCTGCTCTCGGCGTCTGCCACCTCGGCCGCGAGCAGACCGTCGCCCCATGCAACCATGCCGCGCCGATCCGAGTTCCCCGTGCGCGCGGTGCCCCCGCGCACTGGCCAGGCACTCCACCCTAGCGCGCTGGGATGCGGAGCGTGCGTGGGTGCAACAATCAAGAAGGTTCGAGCCCCAAGCTCCTGGGCCTGACAAGGAGTGAAACGCTCTTGAGCCAGCGCTCTTGAGCCAACCATCCTCATCGTCATGATTACCAGTCTCAACATCATCACCATCATCATCGTCGTCAACCTATGAAATCAGATTCATCATCAATATCATCATCATCATCATCGTA